CCAAAACCCCAAAATATCCTTACTTAAAACCAAGAAAAAACAAAATAACATTTTAAAGTTTATCAAATTTACATTCTCTACCATTGACAAACTCAAATACGAGACTACCATGATAGGCACGCCCCAGGCTCCCATTGGACGCACAAAACCCATGAAAATCACCCCCAAACTAAAGAAAATGTTTCACCAAATAAGAAAGTTTGACTAGGCATTTGTTTCTTTGAAGAAGCCTATTTGTGTAAAAAATTGTTGTTGAGTCTCAGACACTATAGTTGGATGAGTCTCAAACCCTTTCCCTCATTTTTTTCTCTATAAATAGAGGCCTAGTTCGAGCTTAGGGGGGGGGGGTAGTTTCCTAAATTCTGTAATACACCCATCCTACTTGAAATCCTGAAATCCTTGAAGCCAAGTTCAAGCCTCAAATTTGTTTCCCCTATTTTGTAGACAACACAAAAAATGCTCAGCCTAGCCCCGTAACTCGCTCAAGCTTCATTTGAAGTGTTTATAGCTGTTAGAAAGTCTGTTTCAAGGTCACACACGAGAGGTAAGTCTCTTTGCTTTTAGTTTAGTTCCGGATTGCTTAAAGTCCTAAAACCATGGGGAATTTGCATTCCTAGCATTCTCCAGATTGAGAAAAAGAGGTAGAAAGGCAAGGGTCTTAGGGAAATCAGTACCTAGGATTGGATAGCATCACATCAAATCAATTTTGGGCGAAGTTGGRAACATTTTTACTAGATTTCAGGAGATTTGAGCAAKCATGTTAATTCACGTTTCGCTAGAATTTGAGCCCAAACAACTCCCATATTGGGTTGTTATAGCAACTTGGAGAGAATGGTGCCTAACACCTTCCCTCTCCCAATTCTTAGAATCCAAAATCTCTTGATTATATGCCTTTTCCATGGATAATTGAGTCATTATCAAATACATAAATTGACTTTTCAAATCTAAAATAAGGGCCCATTTCCTCTAAAAAATGGATGGCGACTCCATCTTATTGARCTGGCCATGAGCTTCCCAGAGCTTACACCAATTTATGGTTAACCTGGGCCCCGCCCTAGAATTTAGGCTTAAAGGCCAAGCTCGGACTCAGCCCAAGGTCAAGCCCGATTTTCCTAGCCTCTACTATAATTTGATGCGCTCGGGTTGGGCTCAAGTTTGGGCTAGGCTCGGGTTAGCCAATTAACCCACTCTAAAACTATGCATATATATATATATATATATGCATTTATGGGAATATGTATACATATATTTATATATATGAATGCAAACTATATATGTANATATATATATATATATATATGCATTTATGGGAATATGTATACATATATTTATATATATGAATGCAAACTATATATGTAAGTATATATATATATATATATATATATATATATATATGTATGCAAAATTAACATATATATACATATGTGTATAGTTGGGATGGGTTCGGGCTAGATTTGGGCTACCTAAGAGCTAGGTCCGAGCCCAGCCCAAAAAATAAAAAAGGACTAATTTCTTGGGCCCGAGGACAAAAAATCCAAGCCCAGCCTATGTTAATTTTTGGGCTAGGCCGATTCAGGCTAGGGTTGGGCCCGCCCAAGTTGCACCCCTAATCATGGAAGGTAAGAGTAATCTCAGTTGTTAGTGAAAATGAAAATGAGTTTTATATGTGGTTTTAAGCTTCTAAGATTGCTTTATTCCAAGCAAGTTGGTGTTAAGGCCTAATAAGAGAACTATATATGAAGCCTCTAAGAGAACCATCCCAAAGATAAAAGAGAAAATAATCAAAAGGAAAAGTGCAACTATATAGAACACGAAGATGTCGGGGGTATTCTCCAGCATAATTGCTCCGAAAAAATTCATGTTTTCCAACCATCAAATAGTTTTCAAAACAAAACAAATTTTGTAGTTCAGATATTAATATATGATTTATAAAACATGACATTGAACAACCAGATAAAAATATGTTATGTTTTTGGTTTCAGTTTTAAAAACAAAAATTGAAAAACATGTTTTTGGTTTCAGTTTTAAAAACAAAAAATGAAGAAGATGTTTTTGGTTTCAGTTTTAGAACCGAAAAAACATGCATTCAACCAGTAACATATTTTCTAAGAATCAATTTATTTTCAAACCAGATAGTTTTAATTTATATTTAGAACTTGGGACAACATTTGAGAAGGAAACATTCTATGAAAGAATAAGGCAATATGCGAGACGACCCAGCAGTTGAGTCACTTAAATCACACTCCCATATCAGAGATGCGAGATCGACCCTGCCAAACTGCAGGCTTTCCGTGGTATACAGCCAATGGATTACATGTGAACCCTTTTCTGTCCCCACCTATGAGATTTTAACAACCACTGAGGCACTAACCAAATTATTCATATAGAAAGAAGGTAATGCCGGACTCTTTTCTACTGGTAATTTGGAAATTTCCTTTCTACGGTAGAATCATAAAAAAATTTCATGAATGAACAACATTTGCATTCCGGACAGCTATCATGGTTGTAAGGTCCTTACCCCAATCATGACAGCTATCATGGTTGTAAGGTCCATTATTTTGGGAATTAATGGGTTTTTTATTTTTTCATTTATTTATTTTAATGGGTCCATGGAGAACCTGCACTTATGCAGATCTGACCGCATGCTGCCATATTCATCAGAAGGATAACAAGTGACCATCGGCTACAAATTGCATATTCAAGAAATATGAAATGAGATGAACAGAAGGTCCAATAACCCCAAGGTTAAATGCAGAGAACATCCCTTTACTTTAATGGTATTACATACAAAAACTACCTTGTATTTTCAGATTCCATTACTACACCTGTGGTTATTTCGTCAATTTTGAACTTTTCTAAGACCGTCTGGGTCTTTGAACTTGATTTGGGACATAGAGCTACAGATTCCAATACTACTCTTGTGGTTAGCATTTTTTTCAATTTTGAACTCTTATAAGAACATCTAACCCTCTCATTTATTACATTTTCAAAACCTAAAATTTGAACTTTTCTTATCATTTTTTAATTTTTTTTTTTCATTTCCTTAAGAGTGAAACCGGATGGTCGAATTGCTGACCCAAAAACTAATGGCCAAAGCAGTTCGGATTCCAGGTCAGCTGGTTAGATTATTTTATTTTTTAATTAATTCGGCTCAATTAATTCAGTTTTGCAAAATTTTGGTATTTAGGTAATGAAATCCGGTTAGCCAATAAAATTGAATTAACCAAATTTTATATTCATAATATATAATATGTTAATGTATATTAATATATTAAAGAAATTTGATTTTGGTTTTCAGGTTATGAAATCCAGTTGCCAATAAAATAATACTATATAATATGTTAATGCATGTTAATATATTAAAGAAATTCTGTTTTAACCAAAAAGCTGAACCGAAAATTTAGATTTTCCATTATTTCAAATTTTCATTATTTCAGTTTGCTTCGGTTTTCCATTAAAAAGTTTGATTTTAAAAATCTTGGTTTATTCAATTAAGTTTTTAACCCGTATAAACTGATTGCTCACCCTTAATTGATTTTCAAATCAATCTCATTCCAAGTGCTTTATCGTTTCAAATGGGATCTGACCTTGACCTACAGAGTGAGTGGGCTGTCTATTAATCGTTCACTTCTTAGAGCATAGCTACCAACGAAAATTTCCACCGGTGTTCACGGGCTGATTAAACGATTGGAGTTCTACTTCTACCAACTATCACTTTGGTAGTACACTAAAGACGAGTTTGGTTTCATCGGAGGGAGAAGAAAGTCTGTGTAGTGTAGATGCTCTTTTCTATGTCTTGAATGGGTTGTCTATTGCGAAGGGATTCTGAAACTTTGGCTAATCTCATTGTGCGCAATTGAAGCTGTCACATCCTGACTATATGATTGTCAAACGTATTTCAGTTCAGCTGCCGAAGAAAGTGATCCTCAAACCACTGCTTGATATATCCCAGACCCAGAAGCAATGGGTGCAAATCCAGAGGTGATAAAGCCAGGATTGTTCAAGTTTAATGGCATCTTTGAGTAGATAAGCAGCTTTGCGGAATCGATGATGTGGCCCAGGCCTCTCTCTATTATTCTTCACCCATTTAACTTGGGCCTCCTCAGTCCTCACCTTTACTAGTCATTGCCATTGGAGGTGTTGGTGAAGCTCGATAGTCAGTCTTGCGTGTTGTGTGAACGTTGTGAGGTTTTGGCAGAATGAAGTTTCCATTTAACTACTCATCTTAAAGCAAATACAAAAGATTTGATGCTGATTGAAGGATTTCAACAATTCCATTGCTATAAAACAAACCATTCAACATCAAAATCCTCCAGAAGGGCAAAACTGGGTTTTAAACAGTTAACGACACTCGTGTAGTCATGTGCAATTGTAAAGCAAACTTAATTCGAAGGATTTTACAAGAAATGGGGAAAGTTTTAATTCATTTACTAAAATCTTAAAAACTTAAGGAAGGATAGTTTAAGAGATTTACCCTATTATTAATATATTCTCATCATTTTTAATTTATTTATATCCGATTGAATTCAAATTCAACCAAAAATTGGATATACCCATATCCATAATCCAATTCAATCAAACTACAACATTTTCACATGAGACCCATTTCACCCACCTACCCGATAAAGTGGTTCAAAGAACTGAGTTAAATTACGCACAACATGATCACTAAGTTGAAAAGATTCCAGAATGTCTTCCGGAATAGCTTTTAATCCAGCATTTAGCCCGACCAGAATTGGACCCAGAAACTAAGTGCGCATTAACAGAGTATGGACCCCAATTGGGGATTGTAATTAAGACGGTCCAATACTTTGGGGACCAGAGGGTACTACTATGATGCCTGGTTGACACCAGTTAGTTTAAGCTTGTACTCTTTGTTCTTTGACACCCCATCAATCTGTGAAATGTCAGTAAGCCAATGTTTGTTGCTTGGGAGTTTGGCTCCACCTACTCGGCCCAAAAAATTAGAAGAGAAGATGAGGACAAATTGTAGATGGGAATGAGTCGAAGACTGAACTGTCTTATTTGTTAAAATAAAATAATCAGGATAGGATAACAGTCCTTCCGTCCAAACGACTGAAGGTTCGGTGCAACCAGGTCTGGAGCTTAACAAAAGTTCCGTTTGATTCAGTAAGTACTCATTTTCGAGTTGGCTATGTGGCACTGGTCGGCTCGGCTGCCCGGCCTCCGTCCATGATCCACACTGAAACAGCCAAGCCAAGCCAAGCCTCCCTGACCGGGTTATGGTTGCTGGAGGCTGGACACTGGTGAGTAGCAGCACGGGATACTGACATTCCAACGGCATCAGTTTTTGTTGAGGAAAATGAATGAAAAGAAAGGCTTAAGCCTGGGTGGCTGGGTAGTTTTGGTCAATATCAACATTTATAGCTCTAGGCTCTAGCTGTCGACTTCCTTTGGACTCCATGAGCACCCAATCTAGAAAGTGGAGAAAAGCTTTAACGATCTTGGACTCTCACCACCACATGGCCATTCCTTCAGCTTGAACCACAAAACCTCCAAATTCCAAATCTGGCAAAACAAGAAGATAAACCCTTTTTCACTCTTTTTAACATTTCCATCTTTCTTTTGATTCCTCTTCCATTGAAAGATTCAAATGTTTACCAAAACCTAAAGAAACCCATTAAGCAATACCATCTTTGAGCTCTGGAAAACATGGATTTTCATTGATATCTCTGTATGCCACCACCACATCTGCCAGAGGGGTTTGCTTCAGTTGCCAAAATAGTTCCCAAAATCTTTCAGAATTGACACTAAGCACGCCACCCCAGATAGTGTTCATGCAGACACTAAAAGCAAATTAAAACCCCAAGAGCTCTATCAAGTATGAACAACAAAAAACCATCAAAACCCTCTAAACCCCAAAAGACAAGGAACCCAGATGGCCAAAGTGAAGGTTAGTACATGGGAGGGCATGAGAACAGCCAAACCCTCTAAACACCATCGCAGCAGCAGTTGTTATCGTTGGCAGTTGCGGGAGTAGCGGTGATGTGGGTGTGTTTCTTAGAAGAGCCTTTGCAGAGCTTAACTGGGTACTTGAGAGCGTTAATCTCCACCTTTCGAAGAGCAGCTTTACCGAGATCAACACCACAGATATCAGAGAGCCTGACCAGGTAGAGCAGAACGTCTGAAAGTTCTTCCCCTAGGTGTTCTTTCTCCTCTTCTTTCCAATCTGGCAGTCCCTTTGGAACCTCTCCTTTCCACTGAAAGATCTCGGACAACTCTCCCACTTCTCCCACCTGAAACACCAAAATAGCAAACCAGTCTGTTTCTTTTCCTTGTCTTTGTTGGTAAAACACAAAACTAGCATAAACAACAAGCGGGTTTGTGAGTATCTCCATAAAACAACAAAAAGAAAGCTCGTGGTAGGTAGAAACAATGACGATCTGATTGTTTCTTGTCGTCTTAACTTCCGCTGGCCATATCTTCATAACCTTATTTATTTTTCTTTTCTTTTTTACCAGAAGGCAGGATAAGATAAACACCACGGTGAGTAACACAGTGAGTGTTATGGTTCACCGGAAATATCTTTTCCGGCCAAAATCCGGAAATGGATAAGGAATGCGATGCTTCAGTCAGGAAGAAGGAGAAACAAGTGGACAGAAGAGAATGCAAGATTGATTATTTAATGAGTATTTGGAGTTTTGATAAATTACCAGAGCAAGTAGAAGATTTCGAGGGCTGTGGAACTGATCCCAGTCTCTCTCCTTTGCAAATTCCGCCATTTTTCTCTTCAACTCATCGAGGGTGACGCTCTCTCCTTCTGAAACGCCTGTCATCTCTTCTTCCTCTATCTGTTAGTCTTCCCTGCGTATCTGCGTATCTGACTTTCTGTTGCGGTGCGCAGGATAAGAGCGAAGAAAAAGCTTTGAGAGACTCGCAGCGGACCAGACGAGAAGAAACTAATGCGTGCGTTGTATTCAAAGCCTCAAAGGGGCTTTCTCTGGCAATAAAAAGCAAGCAACCGACCGAGAGAGAGAGAGAGCGCTCTCCTCTATGTATTTCGGGAGAATATAAAAGGCATAGGGATACCCTTTTAAGGAAAGAGTATTGTTATTGCGTTAACACAAGCACACAAGCAAGTTCCATTGATCTAGTCTTCCTCCGTTATGATTATAACACTTGTCAATTCCCCGATCTGTGGGGACCACCAGGTCACATTTTATCTTTATACTCACACAGCTTCTTATAGGGCCCAAACCCAATTTCACTGTGTGACTAGTGAATAAACAGGCCAATACTGAGGTCCATCCTCACCGCTTGATCGATGGAATCTTGTGGGTCATGGGCTTTTGACTAAAAGCTTTGATATTGATAACCAAGGACCGGATGTCCTAACCTAGAACTCTTTGAACGAAAAATCTTTATCTGCTTCATTTATAAACCACAACTAGAGACTGAATTTGTTGAGGTAATTAATGTGGGAAGGGATAGATGCTTGCTTGTTCCTTAAGGAAAATATGATAGTTTCTTCTAAGAATGAAGTGGGACAATTCAAAACGCTATTGGGTGGATCTGCTCTTCATACACGGCGCCTCACAACGATTTCACATGCACATCTCACCGGTATTAGAAACATTTTCTATTAATTAATAAATAAATAAATACAGCACGGTGGAACTAAGATCGGTGTGAGGTACCATGTGTGAGGGACASATTCGGTCTCAATGATGTGGGGACCATGAATAATAAGTGTATTTATGGGCCAAAAGCACGAAAGCCCATGGAGATAGGAATACATTGAGGATTATGTCATTTGTTTACATATTCTCGTGCATTACAATCTATCTAAGCATTTGCAAATGGGGCACTCTATAATTGGTGGTCCCGGTACTACCATTTCCTCTCCCACCATACAAAAAATTGTCACGGGTTTCAATATTATTATTATTTTTAATTCCATCAGTCCACGTTATTTGTTTTTTAATACTTGTGGTCCTCRTGGGAAGATTAGTCATTAGRCATGCCCTACATTGATATTTAAAATTAATATGAGATCCTTAACCAGGTGGATAGTGATGATCATTAATTGGATACTTGGATGGGCATAATTCAAGGGAAACTTTCGAGAGAGAATTTCATTCTAGATTATTAAACAATAGAGACCGAGAATATATATGAAACGTATTTATGTGTTTTTAAAAAGACAACCCTCCCAGGCTCCCTCTAATAACAAACTTTTATGAGATATAGACAACATCAGAATMATCCACATCATTGATTTGGTGGCAGCCAGAGAGGATGTGATGTGTCCTCCACGCTTTATTGGTGGGTAAGTTTCAGCCTTCCGACTGCTTGCCCCCACCATGTGGCAAAGCAAATTTTTACTAACTTTAGAAGAGAAGAAAAAAATCATGGTTTTAAAATCGGACCAGATCAGATAGTCGGACCGAAAAAATTGGGACTAGTTCTGTTTTTCACCTTAATTAGATTTTTGTCAAAAAACGTTGATTTGGTCAATAAACTGTTGATCTGGGTGGTTGAATTGTTTGAATCGTTTAACAGTTTTGACCATTTTTAAATTTTTTATTTTTTTATCAGAACAGGCCGACCATTTGACCCAAAAACCAGACCCTTGATCGATTCATTATCTAGATCGATTTTAAAAACCTTGAAAAAAATATAAAGCATGGAAGCTTTCTTTTCTTATCTACTTCTTATAAACCCATCTTACATCTTGTATTGTATCTAGAAGATGATTGCAGATCCCTCCTGTAGTAGTGACTAGTGACAATGAAACCCACACTTGAAATGAGACAGTGAAACAATATGTGGTTTTGTAGTGCATTTGTTAGGAATGTGGGAAATTAAATTCATATTGTTGGCATTGCTTAAGAAATAAAGTTTCCTTTTACTTGGGGAAGTGTCCAACAAATATCGTGACTATATAGAGCTGAGTAGCTCCGTCAATGTTATCCCATTATCCAAGGATTCTAGGGGTATGATTGAAAAATAAGTGATTGATCAAATAATTACTTATTTTTAACTATTTATTAGTGATTTGGAGGTCTTTTTTTCAAACCACTTATAATGTTTGATGAATCGCTTATCCCGTAAGTATTTATACTTGCAGAAATGATAATTATAGTCCTAAGGCATACATTAGATGATTAAAGAGCTAAAAAAACAATAAATAAATTATTCAAAACTCACTAGGGTCGATTGGAGAAATAATGAAAAAACAGAGCAAAAAATGAAAAATATGGAGTTAATAGTGGGATTTCACGAACCTGATTCTGAGATTCCACAATAGGGTTCTATTGGCTTTTTGAAGATGGGGCAATCTTTGTAGAATAAACAAAACATTGGGAATAATATTGTCCCAAAAAAGGAAATAAGTGCTTACTGAATAATCACTTAAAAAAAAGCCATTCAATTCATGCTTATTTTCAAAATAAGCACTATTCTGAGCTTATTTGCCAAATATGAATAAATACTTATTATCCATTTATTGTGTGACCTCAAGACTTAAAATAAGTAGTACTTCTTTAAGTGTTTGCAAACAGGGGCTAAATCTATTACGAGCACAATTGTGTATATTGTGTTGCATAACTAATCACCACTAATCAAACCTAGATCTCCTCCAAGCAAAATCTCTATTCGCATAACATCTTGCCATGCATTGAGAATATCTCCCATATATTTATGTTAAGTTCATGGGGAGGTCTCCCAATGTACAATTGGGCTCCCAAGCTTTCAAAATGTGTGCAAAGTTTTGGCTTCCAGGGAATCCCATCACCACTAATCATGGTACAGGCATGAAACCAGTGTTTCATACATAGCATGTGAGTACCATGTGCACAAAACACTGGTATATTCACTCATGATTGATTATGCCGCCCAATGTTTGTGTTTGCAATGGATCCCAACGCTTATCCAAGCCCAAAGTTGAAATCCAATCCAATTCAGGTGGATTTAGATCTAAAAACTCAGATCCGTTTATAATTTTGTTGAATCTGGATAAACCCCTGACCCAATTAGGATACAAAGTATAATAGTATTAGTATCAATGTTCATGTCCATGTATATATAATATTAACATATATTTAATAGTAAACATTGGTTTGAATATTGTATTTTTTATAAGAGTTCTACTAAAGGTGGTTTAAATAATATAGTCTTACAGTATCTTATTTTCAATAAAACTCCCAATCATGTAGGAGATTAACTACAAAGAGGTGTGGCCTATTTGGGATAGAACTCTAAACACTCCTTGATGAGTTAGGAGTGTGAGAAGATTCATACAAGTAACCCTTCTCTTTGGCCCCTCCCCTAGCCACAACTATTGCAGTAGAGTTCCCATAACTCCATTAAAGGACAAAAAAAGGAGAAAAGTTAAGAAGACTTGGAAAATCTACGAGTTGGGATGGCATAAATGATATTGACACAGTATTGCTGGATTTTTTGGGTCAATCTCCAACACATTTTGGTTACTTATATGTGGTATTAGAGCCATAGTTTGCGGTTTATAGGCAAGGGCGGAGCTAGGGGGAGGGGGGCCATGGCCCCTCTATGGTTTGATAAAGATACTTTGTTGATGTGAAACTGAGGAGAGGGGCCCATATGGGCTTTGGTCCCCCCCTATGGATCTAACAATGAACCTGTTAGTCAAGTGTTCTCTTGATTCTTAAATATCTTTCATTTTTTATGTTTTTTATATATCTAATTAATTGGAGGAATTCAAGAGTGATTTTGTTATTTTTTTAACCTTTTTTATTATCAATTTGTCACTATGTGCAAACTGAAATTGATTCAATACATTAGAAATTGAAACACCAAATGAAAAATAAAAGGATTTGCATTTGAGATACAAGTGTACAAGTATACAATTTTAAATTTCTTTTGTTGTTTTTATTTTTTCTTCTCGTTTTGTTTATGGTTGCATTTTTTTTTATTTTCCTCTGTATAATCATTCAAAATGTGAATGGATGGAAATTGGGGGGGGGGGGGATTGTTTAGTGAATGGGCCCCATGTGTTTGACGAAAGTCTCAAATGGGACCATGCCTAAATGCATGCCATTACTTGCCTAGTGTGCAGAAGCACCTACACATGCACCTCCTGCCCATTGCCCAATCTGCCCACCTAGCACATCTTGCACTTCCCCTACCTTGCTACCCGGTGCCAACTTGCCTTGGCACTCTACTAGGGGTGAACATTTCAGCCTGGCTTGCACAAGCCTAGCCCCAATATTTCGGGCTTGGACCTAGGTTTTGTGTTTAGTTCTAATCTCAACCTAGTATATATTTAAACATATGTATGTTATTTATAGTGTATACATATGTATATGCATTACTTTATGAGAATTTATTAAATTATGGGTAAATTACAAAGACCCCCCCGTACTATGGAGTTAGTGACAAAGACCCCCTACTATGTGTTATATCATTTATGCATAGTTAATTCAGGCAACTGTACTTTATTCAAAWGTGCGTATAATGATGAGATGAGTGTCGATCCTACAGATACAACATCACAGTACCAAATCAATTTTAAATTAAACTAAGTTGAACTCGTAAATCAACTGAATGAATAAAAACTAAGAAGAGTTAATGCAAATCTAAAACTTAATAAAAATTGAATCGATGAATGAATGCAGCTAGGGTTTAGATTTCATTAAATCAATGTTATATAATACTTATTTAATCCAACTTAAGACCAAAATTACCCTAAGGTATATTAAAGTTATTTGCATGTAATGGTGGATTTCCCTAAATTAAATAATAAGCTTTCTCAAGTCATATTAATACTTTATTAATCCAATTCTACCATCAAATTTCTAAGTGATTGTCAAAAGGAAAAATAAGCATTAAGTTCTTTGGAAACCTCTAATCGTAGACGGGGATTTGACTCACTAAGCTTCATTGATTCCCACACATGAGCTAATCATCTTTTGATATCATAGTCTAACACGCGATTTTTATTGCCTAGGAATCTAATTCATAACAATCATTTGGTCAATCATGCATAAATCATCGAATTAATAAAAGATTGGCCAATTCTTTTAAAGCATTAAGCACAACAATAAAAATTCCTCATGCAAACAATGAAGGTCTTGAATTGAATTAAACAAATAACTATATAATCCTATGATCAAAATCCATCTAAACCCTAGCTAAGAGAATTTAGATAGACATAATTAAATTCAGCACACTCAAGAAAAGTAAAGAAGAAACACAACAAAAACACATCATGGGACGAAAAGAATAACAAGAAAATTTTAGCCTTTGAAGGTAGAAGACAAGTGTAGCAACTAAGCCTTCCTCCCTCTTGGATTCGAATTCTTCCTCTCCTTCTCTCTAAGGATGT